AGGCTTTTCATCGTGCGTTATGTTGTGGATCTCAGCTTTTTGCCGTTTTATCTTAATTTTGATCTTTGGGATTGTCCATATCCCCTTCGTGTCAGGACAGGGGAGCAGGAACCTCAATAAATGTATGTGGTTTTGTGCTAAATTAGGGATTGGAGTTTAGGGTTAGGACATGGTAATATTTACGCCTGTTGGAATTAAGCACAAGGCCAAGTGCGTAATGCGGGGAGGGTGAAGGGACTGTCCTATTTCTGTGCCTTATCTGGGCGGGGGGGGGAGGAGGTGGATCATACGTGCGGTTGAGACCCAAACCATTTAAATCCTCGAAGTATAGGGCTTGCGTACAGTCGGCCACCGGTCAGATGGCTGAAGAAACTTTGAATGGGCTCAAAACAGCATCGCTCTTAATCACCACCGCAGCTGCCGGATAGTTTAACGCATTAGTTCCTTCTACTATTCGTGTTCCTGGCACTATTAGAACACGGCAGTGGTGGTTTGTATGCTTTGGAAGCGATAGTCAGCCTCCTCCTCTGCTAAAGATCTAAACGCTTACTGAGAAAACACAAATGCACGGTCCGTCTACAGGCCTTTCGTCGTTGCCTTCGGGAACTATCACGTAGTACACTAGCTGAGCTCGCGTTGGTTGCTCTAAGCGTTTCGACTTGGTCTTTGTTATCGTCACACGCGAGTGCTTAGTAATCGAAACAAAATTCTTGGTCAGGATTACTGGCCTGATCAACTGAGTACTCAAGTTTTCATGAATAGTCCTCGAACGCTATAATCTTTACCACGAGACAGTCTGAGGGGTTATGGCCAGCGGACCTGCCCTCCGTAGTCTGACATTTTCAGCAAATCTGTTTTTCACCCTGAGTGACCCTGTAGCCTGACAGAATACCACCGGATGTGCTGATCGGTAGCTAGATGCTATCGTCCCTTCATGTGACTGTGGCCGTTAAAAAGCTACTGACCTGCTTCTGAACTCCAAATTGTGTTCGTACCGTACTACTACCTTTCATCACAGTAGAAATTTACTACTGATTACACTTGTCAGGCCGCTGCGTAGACAAATGGATAA